CAAAACTAATTGCTTTTATAACTGTATGATATTGCACATAGTCGTTTCCCTGGTAATACGCAGCATTCTCTCATCACAAGAATCCTTTTGTTTCAAGCCTGAAGCCTTAGTCGAGTTGCCGCACCCTTCTTCTTTCCTTCCCGAAATTCCCCGCCGCCGACATTGTCTGGTCCAGCCCTGAAAATCTGCAATCCAGCACGAGTTCGCACGGTTGTTGGCATGATGAGGCGCCGGAAGGGACCATTTCCGGTCGCCGGACCGTCGGACCGCGGCGGACCGTACCAGGGCAGCACGGGCCGGACCAGTTGGACCGGCGGACCCGGCGGATCCAGCTGTGGACGCTCTCGTTTACAGTAGTTAGCGCTCGGGCGGGAACTGGTCCGCCGGGTGGCGTGTCTTGTCGTTTTGCCACGCTACCGCGCCGCCGCCGCCGCCGCTACCGACGCCCAGTAGCGGTTCTCACGGCAGTCATGCATATAACGTTCAAATGAGCTGCTCTGCAGGGTACAACGGTGGGAGAAGGCAGGGAGTGGGCTCGTTCGAGCTGTCGTCATCCACCAATGAAGGTAGTCGAATTTATCGGAAATAGATGGCTATGTCTAGCCAATATGGCAACATAAATGCGCTACCAACGTATGTAAATACGAGTCACGACCAATATTTGCAGCTGAGCAAATATTCTCAAACTGTAACGTTTGCAGTTCAAGAAGCAGATTTTGATGCCAAAATACCGGCACCAGAAAGTAACAAGTCGTATCATTCTGGATTGTCTCTCCCGCTACAAACCAATCTACCCTCCCTCTGAAACGACCCGTCGAATCAGACCAATTGTCGGTGCTCCCTCCCCGGCGCAATTTTCCGACCCTCGCGCTCCCCGGCCCGGATCAGTCTGATAAATATCACCGGATTAATCGCGCAGGGGGGACGACTGAGTCGGAGGGGACCTCGGATTGTCGCGTCGGACCCCGTCCACCGAGTCTTGCCATTCGTCCAATCTCAATCCGCGCTGTACGGCCAGTGCCGTTATGAGTCGGCCGTGCTAATTGTTCGGTGGAGCTGACACTGCGACAAGCGCAATCGGCTTACTCCGCGAGCCTCGGGTGGATACAGAGCCGCGACTGAAATCCCGGCGCCGGCGACACCTCGGCACAGATTAGCTACGCCAGCCGTGGGGCAATAATGCCGGAATTACGACACCGATTATTACAAATGCGAACGAATTAGACGTCGGAGTATTTCAGTAATTAAGATGGATTGGTAGATGGACGTAATTTGGCTAAGGCTTTCGACGACAGGGTATGAGCTATTGACGCGCGCCTGTCCTCTTTGGAATCCCAAATAAGGCGCAGGTATTATGATGAGATGGTTATGAGATGGACGAGCAGTTAACCTCGTGAGGACAGCTGATAGCAGGCTTAGGCGTTGTCATATGTCACCAAGAGTGCATTACTGATTTAATACCCACAGTACTGTGTAGATTTAAGGCCGAGCTGTAAAGGTATACGATATGCTTCAGCACACTTTCATTCTCGAAGATATGTGGGTGAAGTGAGTTGAAAAAAATCAATGAATTAGGTATCTAATGGTGATCAAAAATGAACAAAAGATTAATCGAGCCATACTGAAGGTAAGGTAATCCGCATTACAACCTTCGTTCCATGTTTTTGGAGAGTGAGCGTATCTGCGACCATATACTTTTTTTATTTTTACAGTTACCTACATTTACAATTACTTTTAACGGTGCCTTTCTTATGAACTGAATGCACTAGCCACTCACCAGCCACGACAATACAACTCTCGTCGCGGTTTGCCGCTCGTCAATGGATTCGAGCCTCTCCTCTCCGGGGCTCTGGCCTCAGAGAGAAGACGCCAAGTCCTAGCGGAGCGATCGACCGCGTGCAGGCCCATCTGAGGCTCGTTAATCGCACCCGAACCGGCACATTTTAATGGCGATGGATGAGCTGTCGGCGTCACGCCCAGGGGGAGTGTTTCTGTCCTCACCGCCCTCTGAGATCGATTTCCGTTCGGCGCGTGCTCCTCCTCCCCTCTGCCTCACGCTTCTCGTCCCTTCACCCCTCTCCCCTGCGTACGGCTCGGAGATGCTATTTTGAGGCGGTAAGGTCGAAATAGTCACGTGTATGAATTTCACGCACCCCCTGCACCCGACAAATGAGGCCGAGGCGCGTCGACTATGCGATAGAAGCAATCTGAGGGTGTGTGGTGACGTCATCAAGGGCTCAGGAGTAATTGGCTGCCAGCTGGCGGCGTCATCAGCGAGAATAAACGGAATAGGACGGCTGGCTGACCCCTGAACTGGCGGACATCAGTCACCGGGGAAAACCAGGCGGCTGGTCAGAACGGATGGCAGAGTCGTAAGGAGACTGCGCCCATTGAGCGCATCGAAACACAAATTCAACCGGTGTTTGATGTTAATTGTTCGTCCTTTTACGACGTCGCTATGTGTCAAACACGCCTAAATATGTATTTTCCCTAATGGTTATACTGCTTAAGCCGGGTATCATTTCCCAAATTTCATTCATTTCCCTTTGCCAAAACGCTTCTGAAAATCCGCCAACCTTCCACAGTGTTACCGTTTGCAGAAGAGGGTCGATTCAGCATTCTCTCCCCGATTTCCCATCCAGCTGAATCACTGATCACCGTTTGACATTGGCAGGGGACCGGTCCCCCTGTGTCCGTGACGTCACCCTCCCCCCCCCCCCCCCCAGCAGCACCCCGTGGGTCATCAGTCAGCCGGGGGCGGTCGGGGTCGGGGTGCACGGTCTGGCTGAACGGGTAATTGGACGGGGAGGTGGGGGTGTGTCGCTCGGACTGCTGCGGTTCGAGGGATGTCACAGAGACGGAGCGATTCGGACCGGATACCTCAGTGTGAAGACTGAGGAACCGTGGGGAGAGCACGGCTTGCGGAAGGGAAGCTAGGATTGAGTTGAGCGTTGCCGTTTGGGATCGGTAAAAGGCACCAAAATGCTAATTAGATGCATACGTAACAACAACAAAATAATAAACATTTACCTGCCTTAAACACTAAGAACCAGCTTATGCATTCATATCATCTACCCAGCTCCAGCATAGGTAATTAACACCTCGAACTCGAAGACTGTTTCCAAAATCCTTACCACGACTACAGGAATGGATGGTCCCTTCCGTTACTACGCCTCTCCCAGCCCGGCCCCCGTGCAGCAATGTCCAACTCGTGACCTGGCCATCACGACCCAACACCTCAGCGCTCACATTACCGGTGCACCGCTTAATTTTCATCAATTACCGAGCCGCTAGCGGCGCCGCCTCTGAAGATAGTCGCCGCGCTCGGAAATGACTGTATTTGCTGCCGTCTACGATCGCCCGAACAGACGTTAAAGAGGACCGTTCCAGGGTCGTTATAGGGTTTGTGCTCGGTCGTTTGGAGGTCTGTTTACCTCGGGCAGCGCCGGACAGTGAGCTGGTAACAATATAAAGGTGGCTGGGCTGGCCATTGGTCAGAAACTACTGCCGGAAAAGTATAAAGGTGTAAATTATACCTAAGACGTAGCATGCCACTAAACTTTTTTAAATAAACCGTCATCAAAACTAGGTATGGGATATTACGTCCGAGCAATGCCCGTGGTCAATAAATAAATAGCCCACCAAGACCCATCAGATAGGAGGCATTAGGCAAGGCGTCTGCCTGCAAGCCATCTATGTATAAAGTACTGCTTTTTATGTTTAGGTATACTCGTATACTAATTCAACAAAGCCAAAGGCTTGGATTTAGAATGCTAACGTGGGCAGCATTCCACCAACCAAACCAATTGTTTTCCCGCTGCGATTCCAAAGCCACACCGCCGTCATAAACAAACTGTTAGCGCGAATCGACTTCATCGATTCCGAGATCTAATTGAGTCTGCCGGCTGCGGAGGCGACTGGTTTGGACGCGGCGGGCGGTTCGTCGCGCTGCCGGGGATCAACCTCTGAGATATGGGCCTTTGTTCGCCGCGTGTAGTATGGCGGCACGGCGCCTCCCCCACTGAGGATCACCATTAGATAGCCCGCGCCGCCAGCCACCGAGCCCAGCAGAATGGAGACCTAGCCGCTGCAGACAGCACGGCGACCAGACAAAGGGGAATCCTATGTAAAATTGAGTCGATTTTTCTTCCTACAGCCCCTGCCACGCCGAGAAGGGATAGCTAGATGATGCTGTGTCGCAGACACAGCAGAATCGCTGTGCCCAAACGCGTACAATACAACTGGCAAGTGTATGCTCTCACATACATTCTCAGCATCGCTCAATTCGATGGTCATTCTCACACTACACGTCACGCTCCGTGCACTGATACACGTATTGCATGTGGCTACAGCATTACCTAAACTCTCAATTATCGCTCGTTGACTTATGTTTGTCCATTACCTGTTATGACACGGCACAATGAGCACCACACTCGTACAATCGCGCCGCGCCGAGGTGACAAAAGTACCGTCTATCTCTGACAGCTGAATAGCAGCAGTGGCTGCCCAGCCAGCCGTGGTTTCACGGCGCTGACCCGGCGCCCCCCACCGTCCGGTCGGAGCCCCTTTTTGTCCGCACCGGATACGGAAACGGGCCGTGTTCGCGCCCGCTGCCGGGGCAGCTTACGGCTCAATTTGTTACAATGGTGGACCCCGTTCAACAGAGGTCCGGAAGGACAGCAGACAGGACTGAGAGCGCTGCTGCAGACGAGTGAAATGATTCGACTTGACAGCAGTCAAGCTTGGGTGCCATGGGCCGCATCTCATTGACAATGTACCGGATATTCAAGACTACTGGCTGAAGGCTGTCAGTCAGTAACTTCCTCCTAGAGAGTCATTTGAACATTGAACAAGTCCGCGGGAACGACATTCGATTACGCTTAAAGACATTGATAGTGTTAAGTTTCCATTTTCAATACCAGTTCAACGTCCATCGACTTAATCTCATCGTACAATCAGAGCAGTTCTGCGAATGAAACGGTTGACGATCAGAAAATGAATTCACCATTCAGTTGTTTATTTAAATGTATAAAATAAGATGTGGAATAATCTGGGGGATTCATAACAACACTTTCATACACTAGACAACCCACTTGAGCACCTTCATCAATTTTCAAAAGTCAATTGAGGCATAAAAATTATCAGCATTAAACCAGTCAGGCAGTCACACAAAACATTACAGTCCACAGCATTTATAGACGGCGTTAAAATGAAATTATTTCCCTGGTGCAGCGCCATTTTACACGTCCCGTATTTTCTACGTGGGTGCTCCATGAGCTTCAACGCACAAACCTGACGTGTCATCGCATCACAAACCAAAATACACAGTGAGCCATCACACTGACACCCGACAGCCAGTCCAGTCCGATATCTCTCCCCGATGTCACAGCCGGAGCAGTTCCTCTCTGAGCATGGCACACTCCTCTCTCATCTCTCCCTCCTCTCTCCACTGCGGCGCCCCCTTGTCATGATTCGACAGAGCGTCGTACACGTCATCATTGAACGCAAAGTCGCCCGGTTTGCGGGGCATCACGTGCACATGAACGTGTCGGATGGTCTGTCCGGCGGCCGGTCCGTCCTGCACACACACGGTGGCTGAGGTGGCCTGGTGCACCTTCTCCACCAGGCGCTGCACCAGCTGCGAGACCTGGAAGAGGTCAGCCACCTCCGCAGGGGTCAGGTCAACCAGCCGCAGACGGTCAGACAACGGAACCACCAGCACGTGACCGGGAACCACGCACTTCTTGTTCACAAACGCATAGGAGAGTTTGGAACGGTAAATCACCATATCGCCATCTATCGTCACTTGGCCGAACTTAAACTTCTCGTTATCTCCGGGGAAGACTGCGGCAGCGCTGTTGATCGCAGCCGAGTCCGCTAGTGGTGGGAGCGGGACCGGATTCAGCTCAGGATACAAATCGACACGCCGCTGAGTCGCCACCGGCATACCGACCCTCACCCTCGTCAGTTCAGCCGCCGACACATCAGCATACACCACACAGTTAGCTCGCTCTCCGGCGTCAGCCAGCACGCGTCCCCACGGGTCCACGATCATGGCGTGGCCGTAGGAGGCGCGCTTCTCGTTGTGTCGCCCCACCTGTGCGGCGGCCACCACATAGCACTGGGTCTCCACGGCGCGGGCGCGCAGCACCAGTTCCCAGTGCGCGCGGCCCGTGGCCACCGTGAACGCGGACGGGTAGGTGAGGATCTCGGCGCCCTGATGACGCAGCAGCTGACTCACCTCGGGAAAGCGCAGGTCGTAGCAGATGAGCATTCCCAGCCGGCCGGCGGGTGTGGGGACGGGCGCCGTCAGGGACTCCCCCGGACAGACGTAGTCTGACTCTCGGACTGACTCCCCGCCCGGCACGGACACGTCAAACAGGTGTGTCTTGCTGTAGGAGGCGGCCAGCTGGCCGGCCGGGGACACCAGAAGGTGGGTGTTACGCACGCGGCTCTGCTCGGTGGCCTCGTGTAACCCCCCGACCGACAGCCAGACGCCGAGCCGGGCGGCCAGCGCCCGGTACGCGGCCACCGTGGGACCGTCGCGCGGCTCTGCCAGCGCCACCACCTGCTGTCGGCTGGCCGCAATGTAGTCGCACGCCTCCGGCAGGAAGACGACCCGCGCGCCGCCGGCGGCCGCCTCCTCCACCAGCGAGGAGCACAGCGCCAGGTTCGCCGCCTTGTCGTCGGTGCAGGTGACCTGCAGCGCCGCCACGCGGCAGGTGTCGGAAGATGTAGTCATTGAGCGCGCCACCAAAGATCTGAGTGGCGCCACCAGTCTGGACAGCATCCAGCCAACAGCGATGGAAACCCTGTGAATTGAAGCACTGTGACAGGTCACATATGACTAAATCAGCTGCTTCAAGACAAAAAAGAAGACAAAAAAAAAACAATGACCAATAAAATCATCTGAGGCGAAGAGACTCATATGGCTGTTAGATGTGCATGATTGTTTCAGGTTTTTCTATTCCAAGTTTAAAAGATAACAGGGTATTGAAAATTGAGGCCCAGGACCACTTTGTTTTTGCTATCATTGGATTGCTCAGGCTGTGCTTATTCTAATGATGTGCATAAAAGCCCTATAGGTAAGTGCCATATTGTTCCGATTAAAGCCATTTCAACTCTCACTTGCATTCATCTGACTTCTGAGTGCCTCAGCACTACTTTGTAAACATCTAGGGAAAGCACCCTAGCTACAGTGTCATCATCATGGCACATTGAGACAAAACATAACATTCAAATTTGTAAATGTTAACATAAATTTTGGATAACACGTGCAAATAATTGTTACCATTTATCACATACCACCATAAGTTAATAAAACAAACCAGCAACAAACCTTCCAGATATATCAAGTAGGCATCAGAACAGGCAACCAGCAGGGCAAAGATCACAAATGCACTAAACAGGTCACAACAGGACTACAGAGTTTCGCAAATGGTTAGGTACTTTACATTTAAATTCAGCAAAAAAAGGATAGGTAAGGTAAAGGTACCCCATACCTACCTAGCCAGTAGGTAGCAGATCTTATACAGAAAAAAATGAAATATCCAGCCATAGGCGGCAGAACGGGGGGGGGGGGGGTGTCACCGGCCACCAAGGCACCGTAGCGTGCCCGCCTTAATTTTGCCATTTTAACATTAGACCTATATGGGCGTTGCATGGAAAGAATGGAACAAAAGTCGGTAGTGCCCCCCCCCCCCTTATTTGAAGATGTACCGCCGCTTCTGTATCAAACAGTACAAATTGAAATTGTGAATAAAACGAAAGACCTATCCACAGCTTGCTCACCTGAGAAACCTGGGAAGCCCTACCAGCCCACTTATTGCAATTCAAGAATACAATATCAAAACTAAATTTGTTGTTGTCGGGTTAGGGCGCGTAGCCGCCAAAATTCAATTGAATTGTAAAAACATCACAAGAAACGAAGTGTCATAAAAGCAATACCATGCATCTGTTCAGAATTTAGCTTTGACCGCAAGTTACTAAGCAAAAATCTACTGAATGAGCAATATTCCTTTTGTCTCCTCCTGTTGCCGGGCAACTTGCAAAGACAGCCAATTGGATTCCACCCTGCTTCCATTACGAACAGAAAAAGAAACTTGCGTTTGTCTACGAATCGTCATGGACGTCTCAAACCTAGCTTCCATATGCATAGTTTCCCTTTATTTACGTTGCATGGCGATGAAGGAAAATATTGCTCGGTGAAAAGCGTAAGTAATTAATAATAGCGGGTAGGGCGATAATAGGTAGGAACACTCGCTATATTGAAATTGAGAGCATCGCATGACTGATAATGCGGAAATGTCACATGACGGTAAATTAGAAAATATAGAGATTCATCCATATTTTTACAACGCTGACACATCGAGGGGCGGAGCTTCCTAGTAAGGTGCCTAATTAGCGACCCCCTTAATTTGAACCAAATTTGAACCGTCATTGCTCACGCTCTGTGGGTGCCACTGTATTACTGGCTTGATTTTGGGAGAGATCGCTCATTTTTCTATAAAAATAAAGTCATTTTCTGCCCCAATATTCACTAACTTATTTGTAGTGAGCATTTTGGCAAACCATTGCAAAAAAAAAACGCTAATAGCAGGGCGTATTTTAACATGTTAACTGGGTCGGCAATTGCCGACCCAGTCACGGAGAATGCCGACCCAGTGACAGCCGTTTGCCGACCCAGTTGCCGCCCCCTCTAGGATGCAGCACGCACATGCAGGCTAGGTGCCGTCATTCATAGTGAGGCTGCTGCCCTCCGAAATGATAATGCCGCCTCTTAAAGTGAAGCAGCCGTCTATAGAAAGTGATGATCCCGCAACTCAATGTGACAGTGCCGCCCCTAAATCTGTTAGTAGCCCCACTCAATGTACCTAATGGTGCCGCCCTTCTAAGCATCTGTGGAGCCCCGCAATGTGATGATACCGCCCCTCAAGAAGATGATGCCGCCCCTTTCAGTATCGGTGGCGCCCCTCAATGTGATGGTGCCGCCCTCAAAATGCCAGTGGCGCCCCTGAATGTGATGGTGCTGCCCGCCAACGAGTCGGTGGCGCCCCTCAAAATGATGCTGCCGCCCCAGTGTTGGCGCCGCCCCTTATAGTGTCAGTGACGCCTTTCGAAGTGTCGGAGGAACCCACCAATATAATGGTGCCGCCCCTCTAGGTATCCACATAGCCCCTCATTGTGATGGAACCGCCCCTCAAGCAGACGATGCCGCCCCTCAAGAAGATGATGCCGCCCCTGAATGTGATGGTGCTGCCCGCCAACGAGTCGGTGGCGCGCCTCAAAATGATGCTGCCGCCCCTTAAAATGTTAGTGCCGCCCCTCATAGTGTCAGTGACGCTCTTCGAAGTGTCGGAGGAACCCACCAATATAATGGTTCCGCCCCTCTAGGTATCCACATTGCCCCTCATTGTGATGGAGCTGCCCCTCAAGCAGATGATGCCGCCCCTCAAGAAGATGATGCCGCCCCTTTCGGCGTCGGTGGCGCCCCTCAATGTGATGGTGCCTCCCTCAAAGTGCCAGTGACGCCCCTAAATGTGATGGTGTCTCCTGTCAACGAGTCGGTGGCGGCCTTCAAAATGATGCTGCCGCCCCTAAAAGTGCTGGTGCCGCCCCTTACAGTGTCAGTGGCGCCCTTAAAAGTTTTGGAGGAACTCATCAATACAATGTTGCCGCCCTCTAACTTTCTGTAGCGTCCTTCCATATACATAATGGTGCCGCTTCTCAAACCATCCGTGGCGCCCCTCAAAGTGATGGTGCCGCCCCTTACAGTGTCGGTGGTGTCTCCTCAAAAGTCAAGGTGCCGCCTCTCAAAGAAATGCTGGTGTCCCTCGAAGTGTCGGAGGCGCTCCTCAATGTCATGTTGCCGCCCCTCAAACCTTCCGTAACACCCCTCAACGTCATGGTGCCGCCCCCCCCCCCCCCAATGTGCTCACGGCGCCCTTAAATGTCATAGAAGCGCCGGTCAAAGTGATGACTGTGCTCCTGGCAGTGTCGGTGGCGCCCCTTACAGTGTCGGTGGCGCCCCGAACAGTATCGGTGGTGCCCCTCAAAGTGATGATGTCACCCTCAAACAAACGGTGGCGCCCTTCGAAGTATCGGAGTCCCTAAATATCATACCTATTGCCGCCCATTAACGATCTGTAGCGCCCCTCCATATGATGGAGCCTCCCCTTTAAGTATCCGCGGCGGTCCTTAAAGTTACAGTGTCGCCCCTTACAATGGGGTGGCCATAGGCGGTCCCAGGGGGGCCACGGGGGCCATGGCCCCCCTTTGGTGCTGAAAGGTGGGGCCATACTATCTTTTGGCCCCACCTTTTCAGATCGAACAAAAGTCCTACAAAAACTTTTTGTATGTTTCATTTTCTTGTTTAGTGAAAGGTCTTTCTTGCACCAGCAAAGGAAGTAAATTTCACTCATGAGTGGGCTCAGTTTCACATTCTGTCAATTTGGCGGTCAGTGTCGCTGGCACCGGTTCACAAGTATGGCCGGATGTGAGATATAGGTATTCTAACTTATGTGGAATATCGGGTTGGGTTTACTTGAGGCTATCATAGACACAGCATTGGCTGGCATGAGATCCTCCTGCCAAATGAGCGTGGTTCTACGACACTAAAGTATGACCTCATGGGTTGGTGCTGTGCAACTCAGAAGCCCGGTGTATGCCGGCTTGGTTCCTTAAGGATTAGCGTGGGATCTCCGGGGCCTGCGTATTAGAGATTGCATGAACTAGTATGTGATCTCAGAGGCCTGTGTACACAGTACACAGTGGCGGTCGGAGGGGGGGGGGGGCATCAGGGCCATCCCCAAGGACAAATAAGGGCAAATAAGGGGGCATCATATCATTTTGCCCCCCCCCCCCCTCCCAAACAGCCGTTGGGCCCCCATGAGCGTATGGGGCCCTGGCCGTTATCCGATTGTGACGAGGCTCAAGAAACCCACGCCCAGCTGTTACCTAATAGCTCCCACACCGGTCTTTGAGCGTCCTACACTGAACTCTGAGGGCCCTTCAGTGGCGGTCAAGCGCCCACACTGACCGCTAAGAGCCCAGATCGACCTCTGATGGCCCTCCACTGGCCTTTGAGGGCCCCTAAACCGGCGACTGAGGGCCTCACACCGGTCTCTGGTGGCCTTATTTCTGTCTCTGGGGTCCCAAAACTAACCTTAGGCGCCTATGAGGGCCCGCACTGGCTGTTGAAGACCCGATGCCGGCCTCTAAGGGCCCGTACCGGCCTCTGATGGCCCATCTTGGCCTTTGAGGGCCCTTTGCTGGCCTCTGGGTCTAACGCCGGCCCATGCCGGTCTTTTAGGACCTTACGCTGACCTCTGAGGGCCCCATGTCGGCCTTTGTGTCATGGCCTTTGCAGGCCCTGTACTAGTCTCTGAGGGCCCTAAACTGGTCTCTAATTGAAAACATACAGGGATGGACTTCTGAAGTTCTGAGAACGCACGCAAACTCCTGCAGAGCCTAACGTGTCCCGATGGTTCCGAGCAGATTCCCTCATATTTCGGCGCCGGGGCCCCATGAGCCGGCGTGGGTCCTTGGCTGACAGAGACCGATGAAGTCTCCAGGGCCCAGGGACAGTCTTTTTGGCAGTTGAGGATTAGGCAGGTTGAGTGAGCCCCAATAGAGTCGTTGCAAAGCCCCGCAGGAGTCTGCGCGCGGCCCCCAATGCCAAATTTGAAAGCCAGGAACCTGTGGGGGGTCTCTAGAGGTCGGTGTACCTACTCTCTCCCGCAGCCACACAACTATGTCATGGGTAAATGCCATAGTCTAAAAATGCTCTCTTGGTTTTATATGCTGCTCCGATCTGTCACCACGGTGCGGCGGCCCGACCGGTGAGCACACCTTGGGACGGTAAATGGAAGTGGTTATTTCGCTTAAATTGAGTTCAAAAATTGTACGCAAGAATGAGATGGATGTAGCCTAAGAAATGCCAACTGCGCGGCACTTTGTGGCGTCGACTTTGCTACACACGTAAAAACTTAGCCGATCACCCCCCCCCCCCGGTCGACGGATAAATGTTATGTTCCGCGGGTTTGACTTTGGCCCCCCCCCCTTTAGCTAACGGCTACGACCGCCAGTGGGGGTGGCGTCCTCAAAATAAAAGTGATGTTGCCCCCCCCCCCCCCCGAGTAATGTTGGCGTCTCTTCTAAGTATCGGAGGCGCTCCTCATTGTCATTTTGCCCCACATCACTGCGCACATGGCGCCCTTCAATGAAATGGTGCCACCCCCAACGCTCAAAGAGATAACTGCGCTTCTCACAGTGTCGGTGGTGCCCCTCAAAGTGGTTTAAGTGCCCTAAAAAAGTCGGTGGCGCGCCTCAAAATGATGCTGTCGTCCCTTAGCATATCTGCAGCGCCTCCAAAATGATAGTGCCTTCCCTTAACCGGCGCCGGGCTGAGGTTTGAACCCCCCTCCCGACCCCTATAACTTGGCTACTGGGCCACGTAGCGACACGCGGTAAGCGGCATTCGAAAGAGTGTCAAAAACTACTTGGGTTAGTTGGTTAACCGTACTTTGGTTAGGTCAAGTCAAATGTCAAATATCAGGTGACCAGAGTTCATCAAAGGTGAAATGTGGGTGAAATGTTGTCTGTTTCAACATTTATTGACAAACTGGCGCATAACTCGGGGAAGAATAGAACTACAGCACCGCGAAAAAAGCGCATTCGATTGCTCTTCAACGTTCCTATAAAGTCCTCAGACTTGACCTAACATCAACGGCTTAACCTCCAGAGCACAACTAGTTTAACCCGTGCCGGGCCGGGGAGGGTTGGAGTGGACAGTGGACCCCCTCCGCCCCTCTACTGAGCTGTTTTAATGAAGAACCTTTTTACTGTAATAATTATTGACTCACGAAAGTTATGACATTGTTTTTTCAGTACTGTGCTCCTCTCGTCGAGATGCATCGAATGAACTATAATTTGACATTCAAATGTCATTTGGGAAATTTGAGCTCAGGTCCAGGTCATGACCTGACTGGTAAAGGTCACGTTGCATATCAGTCGATTTGTATCGTCAAACTGAAATCATCTAAGGTG